CGTAGGTGTCTCTCACGTGCCACTCAGCCTGTAACTGCCTTGGCTCCGTCCTGCCAAAGCTCACTATGGCCGCTGCCTGCTCAGCTTGCAGCCCAGTGGTGACGAGATGCACGGGAAGGGAGTGACTGGTATGGTCTGTGCTCACCTGTCAAACTTGAGTCTGAATCGGCATCAGACGTCAATGAAAGCCGGCTCAGCCAGCCTTAGAGGAGGCAGCTAATACAGACCTGGGAGCAGACAGAGTGGGGGGAGCTGGAGCTCTCTGACTACCCACTGCCTACCCCAGCGCCAGGATGTAGGGACAGGTCTGGGGTATATGGTGAAAGTGCTGCAGTTGGCATCTTACCGTGCTGTGTCCTTACAGGGTGCCATGAAGATCAGCTAAAGCACAAGTAGCAGGGGCTGTGCGGGAGAAACTGCAGGGGTGGGAGACTCCACAGTCAGGACAGAATGGATTTGCAGCCTCAAGGAGGGTAGAGGAATTGTTATAATAAGTTAAACATCCTCTCTATTGTAGGGGCAATGTGGAGCTAAGCTGCTGGACCTTTCTGTTCTCCCATTTCGGTACCTGTCAAGTAAGGCTTTGTGTTGGTCCTTCTCTCCACCAAGGACTCTTCCTGCTTCCAGGGTCACTGTGACCGCATCAGGGAAGTGCCCCTTCCAGTTGAGCTCGGTGCCATCTCAGGCCACTGTGGCATCACCCTGGTCTGGTTCTCCCTGGCTGTGGACTTTCTTTCCCGCTGTATAGCCTACAACCTTTTTTGAGGGCTTAGAGGCACAGCACTTTATGCTATGAACTCACATGTCTTCCCAGTAACTCCATTGTGCACGCTCTTGTTATCTCCAGCATGCAAAGGCACAGAGAGGTTACTAACTTGCCCTAGGTCACCCAGCCAGTAAGTGGAGCTGGGATTCAAGCCCCATGTCCATCCCATCTGCCTTTGTGCTGTGCTCTATCTCCATGTCCTCGGACGTTATATCCCTCTTTCTATCCCTCTCCAGCTAGAAAGAAGGTCTTTGAAGGATAGGGAGTGGCTTTGGACCATAATTGTGTTAGCACAGTGCCTAGCCCAGAGTGCTCAATAAATGTGAAGGGTATGAAGACTGTAGGTGGCCAGAGGGACTCACACGGTTGCCCTGGAAGTGACACACACCCTGCTCAGTTCAACGGGCTGTTGGCACCTCTGGCTTGCGTGACCCGTAGCAGGCCCACTAGCAGACCCTGTGGGCGTGCAGCCCTTGAGCAGGCAGCAGGCAGCTCTATAGGGGGGCAGGGGATTGAGAAGGGAAGGGCCTCACCATGTGCCTGAGGCCAGCAAGCTTCCTATGTCAGAGGACTCACCCTCAGGGAGTCCATTTTAGGCCATCCTGAAGCCCCCATCCCAAGCCTAGAGCCTGGTACCGGCCTTCCCAGGCTGGGATCACTTCCCCAGGCCCAGGAAGCTCAGATGTCTCTTCCCTCTGGTGTCACCCTCAGTACCTGCCAGGTGGAATCACTTCCTCCCACCTTAAGTTTAAGCTGAAGATTAGAGCCACCCTGGATTCATTACTCCGTGTCCCTCCCCTCCTTCCCCCAACTCCGCCCCACAGCATCTGCACTCTGATACTGTGTCCTAGACCCAGCCCTTCACTCCGTGCCCACTGGGGGCCTAGCACTCATGCTTCTTTTTTTTTTTTTTTTTTTTTTTTGAGACAGAGCCTCAACCTGTCCCCCTGGGCAGAGTGCCGTGGCATTACAGCTCACAGCAACCAACCTCCAACTCCTGGGCTCAAGCGAGTCTCCTGCCTCTGCCTCCCAAGTAGCTGGGACCACAGGCGCCCGCCACAGCGCCTGGCTATTTTTTGGTTGCAGCCGTCATTGTTGTTTGGTGTGTCCGGGCTGGGGATTCGAACCCGCCACCTTAGGTGTACGTGGCTGGCGCCTTAGCCGGTTGAGCTATAGGCGCCGAGCCAGCACTCATGCTTCTGAGCAAGATTCTCACACGTGGAAATGTGGTTCCCTCACTGCTGGCTCCAAATACACCAGGGCTTCTCATCCCACTTAGGAGGAAGCCAGGCCCCTCCCATGGCTGTACAGCACAGTGTGTCTGACCTGTCCACCCAGAGGCCCTGCACTCAGTCACCCTGGAGCAGCCTCGAGGATTCTCGAGGCTGCAAAATCCACCCCCACCCACCAGGGCCTTTGCTCCCACTGCTGCCTCTGCTTGAAAGCTGTGTATTAGTCGAGTCTGTGCCCACTGCCACCAGCAGACTGCAGGAGCCCTCCCCACCCGCCCCATCATGCAGACCACACCTAGGACCTGGAGTGCACTGGCAGTTCATGGCCAGCTCTGATCACTGCCACATCCAGAGTGGCTCCTGGCACAGCTGACATGTGGGACTCCCTCCCTGAAGAGCCTGCATTCCTGCTTCTAAAATACCTTCCCTGCCTCCCACTGCGCTTTGAGCTCCCTCAGGGCTGAAGAGCCTTATCCTGGAAGTCCCTGGACCTGTGTGGGCAGAGGAGGGGCGGATGGGGACAAGAATGGAAGACAGCCACCCCCTGGGGACAGAGAGGAGGCAGGACCCAGGCAGCAGGCCTAGTCAGCCTGGGGCGGGGACAGTGCCTGCCATGTGGGAGCTTCCAGGCCTCACAGCCCCCTGGTCATTGCTTCATAGGAGCCAGAAGGTCTGATTTTTCAAAAGAATCCTGAAATCTAGATTTTATGTGACTCCCCAAATTTTTAAATCTTGGCAACTAACTAGATTTCTTTTTTGTTAACTGTGTGGGCCAAAGAAAACCCATCTGTGGGTGAGGTGTGGTGGCCCTCTCCTAAAAGCTGAGGGGAGAGGTGAGCGTGGGTTGAGGATTGTGTGAAACAGGGCCAGGGTAGTGTGACCTGCCCTGGCCACCCCAGCTAGGAGACCTGGGTGTAGGAGCAGTCCTTGGTGGGATACCTCTAAGTCGGAGGGAGAAGGGAGGTGCATGGCCTTCATCCTGGGGCCCAGGTCTGGGCAGGGGAGCAGGGCCACTCTGTTACCACTTCTCTGCCAGGACCAAGCTGGCTGGAGGCTGCTTCCTACCATGCTCCTGGGGATAAGCTTAGGGTTGTGTGGTCATCCTAGGGTAAAAAGAGCAAGGTCACCTTGCAGCCAGGAGATTTGCTTTTGCTCACACGTGAAAATATGGTATCTGTGAGGTCCTGTGGTCAGCCAGGAGCTGCAGAGCTCATTGGGGCAGGTGGACACTGGCCTTCTCTGTTCTCCACCCACAGAACAGAACACTGACCTCTGCCCAGTTAGAGAGGGACCTGGCTGACTCCTACCCCAGCACAGGAGCTGGGTGTACCACAGGGACAATGGGTCCCAAGCCATGCTGGGCCCTTCCTGCACTTTTGAGAAACACAGTGTCCCTCAAGGGGGCCCAACTGCTTGCCGGCCCTCAGTGATTGAGGACTTGAGACAAAGGAGCAGAGTCTAGCCTGGCCCCAAGGACCGTACACAGTTCCTGAGTGTCCCAGAAAGCTCTGCTGAGGAGGCCACCTGTCTTGGGAGTCACATGTGTGGCTGTCCTCTAGCCCACCCTAGCTCTTTTGACCACTAGGATGTCCCTGGCATGTCAGCAAGTGTAAGACCCACCACAAAACAGGCGGGCCTGTTGGCATGGTGGCACTCCAACCATGTCTGGGCCCATGTGGCTGGAGGGCCTGCTCCCAGGGCTGGTGTGAGCAGCAAGGTCAGGGTGATGCCCCCACATGCCTCTCCATCTGGCCCTGCAGATGACTGGCTTGGAGCCAGCCCCCATCAGCCCGTGACAAGTGCTTCGGGCCCATCCTGCCCAGGCCTGGCTTTGCATACCCCATGAGCAGCAAGGGGCTTGAACTGGGAGAGAAACCTCTGCTTCTGGGGCTCAGTCTCTGGGGTACACACTCACAGCCAACCCCAACCACCCTCCCCCAGCAAGTCCAGTGCTGTGGCCCTGGCTGGGAACCCCGGCTCTCTGTGCCCCCATTCCTTGCCTGCAAATGAGGGCTCAGCCATTGAGCCCCTTGTGGTACTAACTAAGCACATTGTGGTACTTTTCTTTTTTTTTTTTGGTAGAGACAGAGTTTTACTTTGTTGCCCTCAGTAGAGTGCCATGGCATCACAGCTCACAGCAACCTCCAACTCCTGGGCTTAGGCGATTCCCTTGCCTCAGCCTCCTGAGTAGCTGGGACTACAGGTGCCCGCCACAACGCCCGGCTATTTTTTTTGCTGCAGTTTGGCCGAGGCCAGGTTTGAACCTGCCACCCTAGGTATATGGGGACCAGCGCCCTACCCACTGAGCCACAGGCGCTGCCCCACACTGTGGTACTTACTAAGCACGTTGTTGCAGGCACCTCCTTGTATTGACGTAGCAGGTTTTCACATGGGGAGGTAAGGGCCCTGTGAGGCTGTGCAGCTGTCGGCTTCAAGTCTGGGCTCCTGAGCGCTGAGGGTAGCCGGAGTTGCTGACCTCCAGGGTTAGGTGCAGGAGTGAGTACACATGGGACGCCTGGACAGTGACAGCAGACGCTTTGTGTAAGTCCAGGTGCTGTGAAGGCTATTACTGTTGAGCAGGGGTCTGTCCGCCCAGTTCTTTCACACCTAGGGGAGCAGATAGTTGGGCCAGGCAGGGAACCCGGTTCCACATGCATGTGCAGGCATTTGGGGCCAATGCCAGGCTCGTGGAAGCACATCCGCAGCCCTCCTTAGCACGGGGCCCACGTGGTTCTACAGGAAGGCTTTCACACCAAGTCCCCCCACATTCGGGACTTGCTGGATATCCCAGGGTCTCCAAGTGTTGGCCTGAGCTCCTGAGTTGCCACCCAAGTGGGAGATAGGACTACAGATGGCCTATCTAGTCCAGATAGCTACGGAGATGGAGGAACAGAGCCAAGGGCTGGACCATGGTACTGGGGAGCAGAGAGGGAAGACATCAGCCACCCATGGAGCCCCAGGGGCTGGACAGCCAAAGCAAGTATTCTTCTCACCACCCCCAGGAAGCCGGAGAAGGGAGTCCAGTACCTGATCGAGCGCGGCTTCGTGCCCGACACGCCGGTGGGGGTGGCCCACTTCCTGCTGCAGCGCAAGGGCCTCAGCCGGCAGATGATCGGAGAGTTCCTGGGCAACCGGCAAAAGCAGTTCAACCGTGACGTGCTCGAGTGAGTTTGGGCTCGGGGCCTCGGGATGGGGGACCCTGGTCTACCGACTTCCTCACAGGCCCTTATTACACGCACAGGGTCAGGTGTGCTGCCAGGGTGTGTGCTGAATGTTTCTTTCTCTCTGCCTGGCTCCTTGATACGTGGACACAGACTTGCACCCACACCCTCGCTGGTGCACACGTGGGCACCCACACCCATACAGGCATGTCTCACGCACTGACCCCACTGCCCTCCCACCTGCCTGCCTCCAGCCCTTATTCACAGTGTGGTCAATCCAGCCCAGCACCGAGTGGTCACAGCCCCCAAGTGACCACATTCATGCAGCCTTCATGGCCGGGCTGGCAGGAGCAGGCAGCTGGAATTGTGGGACTCCTTGCCTTTCCCTGCCTTATCCTAGAGAATGGGAGGGGAGCTGGCCCTGCTCACCCAACTGCCACCCTGGTGGGCAGCCCATGCCCCACTGTGCTGCTGCCTTATTTTCCTGGCCAGGGGACTGAGGATGAGAGTCCAGCCCCACTGGCCCAGAGAACAGACCCTGCAGAAAGATGGGCTCCCAGCTCTGTAGGCGTCTGCGCAGTTGAGAGAATTCCTGCCCGATATACACCTGCAGTCGCCCCGTCTCCCTTTTATACTGTCTAGAGCAGAAAGGCAGCTGTGGACAGAGCCTGGCGCTTACTTGGCAGTTGCCACGTAACAGACCCTGTAGCACCCTCTTCCCCGTGGGACTGGGCACTGGGATGACCAAGCCAGAGCTAGCCGTTAGGAGACCTGCTCAGAACAGGCTGCCTGCTGGGGCCCGGGGGCTTGCCTAGGCCCTGTGTCTGAGGAGTGGCCCCCGATGGGCACCAAGGCTCAGCACCTCCAGTCGGTTGTAAACGTGTCACAGGGCCTGGCCATGTGTGTGCCTCCCCCTCTGCCACTTCAGGCAGCGGTGGGTGCTGTGCCCTGCCTGTTTCTCAGTGAGGAGACGACAGCTCCCAGGGGAGGGGCTGGCCTGGGTGCGTGTATTTATGTACTCACACCCCACACACGTGCACGTAAAGGTATGCAGACGTACAGCAGAGTGAGCCGTGCTGCTAGGGCTGGCTGGCGTGTGACAGGCACCCAGCAGGATGCCTGTGCCCTTCCTTGACCAGACCTGAATAGGCTGGGCTACTTTCTCCCTGCTCAGCACCTGTGTTTCTGCTTCATCTAGAGAATCCTGGGTCCAGCCCTGCCCCCCAGCGCCTGCAACCATTCCTGCCTGCACAGCCCTTCCAGGCTGGGTTCCTGGTCCCTAGGAAATCCGGGCATTGTTTGAGCATTGTCCTCAGCTCAGAAAATAGCAGTGGCCTCAGGAAGTGGCAAGACTCCCCCAGCCCAGCACCCGAGGCAGGGCCAGGGCAGCTGCTTGGTGCTGCCCCTTTCCTCAAGCTCTAGCTACCTCGGGACGTGAGCGCTCAGCAGGGTGGGGGTTGCCACCGCTTAGTGGGGTTTATCACAGACTCACTGCAGAGACAAACCTGCTCTGGAGCCTGCTGGTGGGAAATGTCTCCACCCTTGGGGTTCCTGGTACAGACCCCACCTTCTCTGTTCAGGGGTCACCATGGGATGGGCTGGGGCAGAGCCATGAGGAAAACATGGCTCATCAGAAACTATTCGCCATTGCCCCCCCCCCCCCGCTTGCTCCATGGGTGAGGGTGGCCTTGCCCCTATAAGGTACCCCTGAAAACCACCTACACAACCCAGTCCTCGCCCCCCCACACCCTGGACATTTGTCCCCTGGGCCTATTTCCTCCTCATACAAAGGGGAGTAAGTTCCCTGCCTCCTCACAGAAGCAGAGAAGACTCCACAGCCTTGTCTGGTGCAGGTGATGTCTGTGCTTAAAGATGTTTGTCATAAAGGGCCTGATCCAGAGTCAGCATGTGCTCTGGCCCCCAGTGGGCACCACACACACAAACCTAAGCAGAATGTTTCCCTACAGTTTCAGGGGTTCCCAGGCTCCCTGGGAGTCCTTTTGACAAATTCCACAGTGCCCTTGACTGATTGGAGGGACCCACACAAGACCTTCCCTGCTGGGAGCCAGGCCATCCCTGTGGGTCATATGCCTATGCATTGACGGCCCATAGCATGGAGACTCACTCAGTCGCCAGGGGGGAGGCAGAGGGTGGGGATGGCACTCCCCCATAGACCAAAACCACTCCCATGGGCCGTCTCTCTGTTCTAGCTGTGTGGTGGATGAGATGGACTTCTCTGCCATGGAGCTGGACGAGGCCCTCAGGAAGTTCCAGGCACACATCCGAGTCCAGGGAGAGGCTCAGAAAGTGGAGCGGCTCATCGAGGCATTCAGGTTGGGGCCCATGCTGGGCAGGGCAGGGCGGGGGGGTAGGGGCCTTGTTCCTGGGGACAACCTTCCCAGCTCTAGGGCCTGAGGCCAGACCAAGAGCTACCCAGTCTGTGAGCGTTGTTTTCAGGGTGATTATAGTGGCTCCTCCTGTGTTCCAAGCATTGTGCTGGGTTTTTTTTTTTTTTTTTTTTTTGCAATTTCTGGCTGGGGCTGGGTTTGAACCCGTCACCTCCAGCATATGAGGCCGGAGCCCTACTCTTTTGAGCCACAGGCGCCGCCCTGTGCTGCTGGGTTCTTTACAGACATGTGCAGGTGGGGTGGAGGGGCAGTACTTACTATTCTAATTTTGAAGGCATGGGAACTGCAGCTGAACGAGGTTAGCTGGGATTCTGACTGTTGGTATAAGGACCCTGAACGCTGTCTTCCTCCCAGCGCTCACTAGGTCTCTGTCTGTTCATGAGCTGTCGTCTGTCATCCCCATTTACACAGGAGCAGCAAACCTCTCCCAGGGGCTCAGAGCACAGCTTCGCAGCTGGATGGCTCAGCAGCTCTGCCACTCACCAGCTGTGTGCTATGGGCCTCACTTCCTCACCTGTGAAGTGGCAGTGACAATAGCATGTAGTGCCCTAGAGGGAGGGATGAAATGACTTAGGACCTGAGGACCCGGTTAGCCAGGCACCTGCACGGGGTCCCGGGTGGCGGGCAGCGGCTGTGTGAAGGACGTGCTTGGTGCTGGGCTGGAAGACATGAAGCAGCTGTTGACCTGGCCCTTGGGCTCAGCACCTGATGGTGGGACTAGGAGGGTCGAGGACACAGAAGGACGATAGCCCCAGGGTCCTGTGGGCGGAGGGGGGGGATCCAGCCCCTTCCAGGACAGCTTCCTAGAAGTGGTGGCCCTAAGATGGGCCCCCAGGATGAAGGAGACTGAACGGCAGCCCCGCTGCATGTAAGCCTGAGTCACAGCACTCTGCCTGGTTCCTCTGTGTGTTCTGCCTCTTCTCACCTGCCCCTCCATGAGGTCACCAGTGGAGGGGGAGCCTAGAGGGTGCTGGCAGTGACTCAGTGAGGCAGGGTATCTTAGCAGGGCCACTGGTTTAGCTGTTGTAGCAAAGGTCCCACAGCAGCTATGGCTAAGGCAAGGCACAGTGCACTTCCCTCTGGCTGGTGTGGAGGAGGCCTGGGTCCCTTGCACCTCCCAGCCCCAGAGAGCAGGCACAGCAACTCACTGTGACACCCCCAGGGAGGTGCCCACAGCAGGTCTGCTCACGTCCACTGGCTGAACATGGTCGTATGGTCTCTCCAAGCTGCTGGGAAGCTGGGGAATGTAGTTCTCCCCCAGGCAGCCCTATGCACAGCTGAGATGAAGGCAGGAGGGATTACAGCTGAAGTAAAGAAGGGCACGTGTGAGCCCCGGTCACCAGGTGCAGGAGGGAAGGCTTAGAGGCACGTGCCAGCTGCAGCTGCCTAGTGGCGGCCCAGCAGAGCAAGGAGCAGTGTCACTTGCCACACGGTGCCTGACCTCCTCCCTCCCGGCCCCAGCCAGCGCTACTGCATCTGCAACCCGGGGGTGGTGCGGCAGTTCCGGAACCCAGACACCATCTTCATCCTGGCCTTCGCCATCATCCTGCTCAACACAGACATGTACAGCCCCAACGTCAAGCCCGAGAGGAAGATGAAGCTGGAGGACTTTGTCAAGAACCTCCGAGGTGAGCTGTGCCCAGGGTGCTGGCCATACTTCAGACTCATTCAAACACCTGCCCTGGCCAGAAACCCCCAGGTGGGGGGCAGAGAGGAGCGTGAGACAGCCCATACTGGAGAGCTGGGCCTTGGCACTGGGGTCAGCACAGGGGTCCCGAGTGCTGTCTCAGAGGCATGCCTGGGTCTCGGGAGGGTCAGGAAACTTCGCTCCTGGGGGAGGTGATACTATCCTGTCCAAAATGGCCAGGTGATGCTGGCCATTTTATTTGTGTTTTTTGCGTAAATGAGCGTATTTCAAAGGGGAACCTGTATCATCACTATATAAGTGGAAAACTAATAGCATTTCCCACACACAGGAGGTAATTATAAAAACAAGTCCAGTGGAAAGGAGGCAGTGCTGTTGAATCCTGGCCCACACAGCTGCCTCTGCCAGCACTGAGGCTGAGCTGAGGCCTGTCTCCTGCCTTCAGGGCACAGGCTCCGTCAGGAAGTGACAACTAGTCAGCAAGAAGCCAGGCCTTCCACTGGGTGAGCAGAGAGCAGAGGAGAGCTCAGGAGGGCACGCCCATCTCCCGGGGCTCCGTGTCAGCTGTGGCATGTCCCTGTGTGCCCTGATGTCCCTGGGAGGACAGGGAGAAGGGACTATGTCCCTCCCCAGGGAAGCACCAGATGTAGATTGTAAAGGAAGTGGACTGAGGTCTATTTGGAAGTGGTGTCATATTTTTTAAAAAGAAATAAAAGCTGGTCTGAATCAAGTGCAACTTCGTAAGTTTGTTGAGCCATGTAAGTTTTCTGTTCTTATTCATTTTTATAAAACTGTAGCTTTTCCAGGCACAGCAGCCACCTGGGAGGCTGAGGCAGGTGGATTGCTTGGGCTCTGGAGTTTGAGATCACCCTGAGCAAGAGTAAGACCCCATCTTTACTAAAAATAGAAAAACTACCTGGCATTTGGCAGACACCTATAGTGCCAGCTACTTGGGAGGCTGAGGCAGGAAGATCACTTGAGCCCAAGAGTTTGAGGTTGCTGTGAGCTATGATGCCACAGCACTCTATCCTGAATGACAGAGTGAGACTCAGTCTCAAAAAAAAAAAAGAAAAAAAGAAAAGGAAAAGAAAAAACTAGCTTTGTCCTCCCCTTTCCTTGGACAGGAGAGTTGTCACTGGGAGCATCTCCAGGTAGGGGGTCCTACGGGGCTGCGATGGCATCCCGCCCACCTAGTGGTGGGCACTGCTGTAGCAGGAGGACTAAGGGACCCCCAGATGTTTCCCCAGATAGCAGAGGGGCAGCCAGATGGCTCCTGAGCTCTGCTCCAGACCATTTTCAGTCAGCCCTGGTTTTGGCCTAGAGCTCCAGACTCTCCTTGCACTGACCACTTAATGCCTGTGACCCTCTGCTAGAGCTGAGCAGCAGTGCAGGCCCCAGAGTAAGTTAAGTCTAGTTCATGGGAGCCAAGGAGTCTGGGACTCATTAATGGCCAGTCACTTCTCCAGTGGAGAGAGTGGGGCAGGCAGCAGACTTTCTAATGGCCAACGTGTCAAAGTGGGAGCTGGAGGATGGTGTCAGCCTCCTCTCAACCACCCTCGGCCTCTCCAGGGTTCTCCTCCCTTGAGCCCCTCTCCTTGCTAGGCTGAACCTGATTCTGGTGGTCACAGGGTGTCACGTGACCCCGTATGCAGGCTGGCCACTCTGACTACCAGGAGAGCTGGCTGTGTGCTACATGTTATTGGTACCTGCCCCCCATATTCTAGGACTCCCCTCTGTATGAAATAACAGGAGAAGTCCAGAGAGGAGAAGCTCAGGGAGGGCAGACGTGCAGAGAGCAGCCAGCCAGCCACCCTCCTGGCAGCAGCTGTAGGCTATGGGCTTCACCTGCTGTCCCCACAGTCTGGGGGACAGGGTGGCCTCAGCCTCAGGGCAGGGACTGAGCACTCCGATGCCAAGAAATGAGCTGCACATTCTATCTCCAGACCTGGACTGTTCCCACCAAGTCACCTCTTTGCAAGCCAAGAACCCAGGGTTGTTCTGCCTCATTGTTCCTGTGCCTTGGAAGAGGTAACCTAGGCTGACAGAAGGAAGAGACTTGCCCAGGGTCACACAGCAAGTGAACAGCAAAGGCAGGACAGTCCTGGTCTCCCTGCGGGCAGGCTTGACGATTGGTGGAGGAGGAATAGCTCGCCAGCTCGGAAGCCACTCAGAAGCCAGGCGGAGTGTTTCTCTTGTATTAACATTTAGTTTTTGAATGGGTATTATCTTCACATAGTTTGCAAACCAGAAAGTAATACAGTCCATCAATTGCCTTTCTTGGTTTTTACCCAAATTAATTGAAAATTTAGGCCCACACAAAAACCTGCACATGGATATTTACAGCAGCTCTATTTGTAATTGTCAAAACTCGAAAGTGACCAAAGTGGCCTCATCAGGTGAGTGAGACATCAGCCATGGCACATCCCGACAGCGGAGTATTCCTCAGTGCTAGGAAAAAATGAGCTGTCAACCACAAAAAGACACAGAGGAGCCTTAAGTTCATATTACTAAGTGAGAGAAGCCAGCACGAAAAGGCTGCAGATGGTGTGATTTCAACTATGCGACACTCTGGAGGAGAAAAACTAGGGAGACAGTAAGATGAGGGGTTGAGGGAGGGTGTGATGAGCAGGTGAGCACAGAAGCATTTCAGGGAGGTGACATCGCGCCGGGTGACACTGTCTTAGTGGATGTGTGTCATACTCTTTCCAGACTATGCACCACCCAGAGTGACCCCTCCTGCAAATGACTGACTGTGTGATGGTGATGTGAGGTGGACCAGTCTGGGGGGCATGTTGCCCTTAAGGGAAGCTGAGCGGGTGTGGAACAGGAGGTGTACGGGAAATCTCTATACCTCCTGCCGGTGTTGCTGTGAGCCTAAAACTGTTCTGAAAATAAAGTCTGGGCTCTGTGCCCGTAGCACGGTGGTTACGGTGCCAGCCACATACATGGAGGCTGGGGGGTTCAAACCCAGTCCAGGCCAGCTAAAACAATGACAACTGCAACAAAAAATAGCCAGGTGTTGTGATGGCACTTGTAGTCCCCACTACTTGGGACTCTGAAGCAAGTAAATCGCTTAAGCCCAAGACTTTGGAGGTTGCTGTGAGCTCTGATGCCATGGCAGGCACTCTACCGAGGGTGACATAGTAAGACTCTGTCTCAATAAATAAAGTCCATTTTTAAATACAAAGTACTAAGAGGCCCGTAGCAGAATTCCCCTCTATCCCCGTCCCCACAGACCTGGCATCCCTCTACTCAGGCGAATCAATGTGCACAGATGGTTTTACCTTCTGCTTTGCCCTGTGTTTTCCTATTGACCAAGTCTGAGAGAAACCCCCCGTGTCAGGGCATAGCAGGCAGTTTGTTGAGCTGATACATGCAATCGGGCACACCGTACACTTTGAGCCTTCTGCTATTTGGAAGCAGTGCTGCAGTGAACAACCTGTGTGTGGAATAAGTTCCTTGAATGCAGTCGGTGGACTAACGTGTGTTAGAATTTGCCAAACTGCCCAATCCGGGGCTAGCTCGTCTCCCCAGCCTGCCAGCGGTGTGTGGGAGGGTCCACTTCCCCTCACCCAGTGCCCTTCACCTGAGGCCGGTCGAAGGATGAGGATGGATCTTGCTGCGGAGAAAGTCTGCATTTCCCTCATGAGCAGGGCTGTGCTGCTTCCTCACAGCATTTTCACTGTGGTATTGAAGAAGGGGTATGTGCTTGCAGTTAGAACAGCCCCGGGTCAGACCCCAGCCCTGGCCTCTCCCCATGAGATACAGGACAGTGACAGCAACCACCTGTGCTGCGTCAATGCCAGACAGGTGCACGGGGCCAGCCATGCCACAGGCTTCCTTCTCTCCCTCATAACGTATTTGACAGAGGACACCAAGCCAGGACTCAGCCAGTAGGGGATGAAGCTAGGATCTGGTTCCAGGTCTTTCAGAGCCCACGCTCACAAACTCCAGCCTCCCCACAACCCTAGCCTCAATTTTGCCATCTGGAATGGGGACAGCTGTCCCACTTCACAGACCTATGAAGATAGTGTGTACAAAGTCCTCTGGACATGGCTTAGCTGATGGCTCAGCACCCCTCTGAACAGCTGGTTCAGGCTGGGTACTCTGGGGGGAGGACTGGGAGGCCATTTGGAATTGGAAGTGCTTCATAGCTGGGTGTCTGGAAGGTCCTGGGTTCTGCCAAGGACTAGCAAAGGCTTGCTCCTCTGATCTTCTTCAGAAACTGACAAATCAGGGGTGAGTTTGGGGGCCCAAGGCACAATGAAGCCACAGCCACCCCAGCTCCACCCCACACTGGCATCTCGCTGCCCCCTGCCCAGGTGTGGATGATGGTGAGGACATCCCCCGGGAGATGCTGGTTGGGATCTATGAACGGATCCGTAAGCGAGAGCTGAAGACCAACGAGGACCACGTGTCCCAGGTGCAGAAGGTGGAGAAACTTATTGTGGGGAAGAAGCCGGTGAGTGCTGGGTCCGCATCTCCTGGAGACCACCATGGGGCCCCAAGGACAGGACACCCTGAGGACCCCTCTCGGTGTGACAATGAGTCAGCTCCTCCCCACCAGCCAGTGACCCTGATGCCGTTTGGAACATGGCCCCTTCTGGGCAGTGGCAGTGAATCACAGCAGGCCTTGGTCTTTTTGAGTGGCTCTTGGGAACAACAGCCATTTGCTCTGCCTTGTGTTTGAAGGGAACTTGAGGCTCTTGATAAGCCAGCAGGGCCAAGGTTACTCTGGGGCCTGCAGCGCTGGTTGGCTTTGCTTGGTGGCCTGGGAATTCCCTCCAGAACTTCTCAGAGTGCTTTCGCAGTGAGAGCAGGGCCCCTTGCATCCCAGCTGGATGGAGTGTATGGGATGTATTAGCTCCCTGGAGGGGCCCAGGTGTGTCTTCTGGAGGTTAATGTCCTTTTTTGTTTGTTTACTGTTTTCCCATAGATCGGATCCCTGCATCACGGCCTTGGCTGTGTGAGTATTTCTTTGCTTCCAGCTGATAGCCCAGCTGCCTTGGGGAGGCTCAGCCCCTCCCAGGTCCTCAGGCTCCCAGAGCCAGGGTTCTGGCTGCTTGATTCATTTCCAGAGCACTGAAGACTGATGTTCCTAGTTACCCAGCCTGAAATCTCTGCAGGCCCTGAGGCTACAACCACACAGGAGGCTGTGCTCTTAGGCTGAGCTTAGAAAACCCCTGCCCTCCTTTTCAGTCTCTGCTGAGCCCAGACCCTAAGACTGCACCTGATACAAGCACCCTCAGAGAGGCATCTGAGGCCTGTCCCTGCTGTCACTGCCCCACCCTGCCCTGTGCACAGTCCATACCCCCCGGCTTGCTCCTGCCCCTCATGTCCTATTCAGGCTCTCCAGCCTCTCATCCCCATAACCTACACATTGTTGCCACCTTCTAGTTCACCTGCATGCCCCAACAACAGCTTTCCTGGTGGCCCATGGCCTAACCCTCAAGGGTCTGGCCTTATCCCTCAGCTCTGCAAACCACTCTGCCTGCCCAGCCCACCCCCAGCCCCACCTCCCCCATCCTCTCATCCTCTCCCTTATCAGTCTATGCCAGCCTTTCCTCTCTCCTCATCTCACTCCCAGAGCACCTGGGCAATCCACTCCCCCCATTCCGCCCCCTGCCATGAGAGCCTTGCTCCCAGTAGAGCAAACTCGGTCCCTCCTGCATGAGTCTGGGCACTCCTAGAGCTGAGCCTAAGCCCTGATGGTGGCTTGTCCCCTTGTCACTGAGATGCTGACCACCTTGCACTGGGCCTCAGGTGTGGCTTGAGCTATAGTGAGTGCTCACATGAACCCCTTATGGGCATGATCAGGGCAGGTCTGCAAGCCTCTGAGCAGGCAGCCTGGTGGCGTGGGGTAGAGTCACACCAGGGCTCTGTGGCTTATTTGGTTTTTCTGAGTTCCTCTCTCAGTGCCTCATCCTCCTCACAGCAGACTCTCTGAAAGGACTTCTTACCTGGGCTCACAGATGTATGTCACTGGCACATATGGGAGACTCAAAAAATGTGACTTCTGTCCCTGGCCAGGGGTTCCTCTGTGAGCATGATGTTTTAAGAAGTCTGGTACCTGCCCAAAAGAATCGAAAGGAGTGGCTTGGCGCCTGTAGCTAAAGTGGCTAAGGCACCAGCCATATACACCTAAGGTGGCAGGTTTGAATCCAGCCCGGCCGCCAAACAACAATGACAGCTGCAACCAAAAAATAGCCGGGCGTTGTGGTGGTGCCTGTGGTCCCAGCTACTTGGGAGGCTGAGGCAGGAGACTTGGTCAAGCCCAGGAGTTGGAGGTTGCTGTGAGCTGTGATGTCACAGCATTCTACCCAGAGGGACAGCTTGAGGCTCTATCTCAAAAAACAAAACAAAACAAAACAAAAACGAAAAAGAATCGAAAGGAGTTTCAGCAGAAGTAGGGGAGTTCTTGTAGTCCTTCAGGTCAGAGAAAAGAGGACTTCAAGTAGTAACACTTGAGGACAGAGTGGGGCAGTTGCTGTGGGCCAGATGACGTGTCCGCCCTGCGCTGCTCATGACAGGAGGTGTATTCTGCACACGAGGCCCATAGGCTGGGTTTCACTGCCGTAGCCCCCAGGGCCCCAGAGGGAGGCCTGGCACCATGCAGGACGGTCTCTGCCCACACAGGTGCTCTCTCTGCCCCACCGTCGGCTTGTCTGCTACTGCCGGCTCTTCGAGGTTCCAGACCCAAACAAGCCCCAGAAGCTCGGACTGCACCAGCGAGAAATCTTCCTGTTCAACGACCTCCTGGTGGTACGTGGCTCCCCCGGGGCAGCATGGCCAGCACCTCAGTGTTGGGCTCTCCATCTGGCCATGTGTCTGCAGAGTGGAATGTGTACACACATCGGGGTGGGGAAGGGGAGTCACCTGGAATCTTGGTTATAAGGGACAGAATCTACCTCAAACTGACCCACGTGAAAACAAGGCTGTGTTGGCTTGTGTAGAAATCCAGAGGGGAATTTTTGCCTTCAGCCCCAGCTGCTTACAGTGTCCAGCAGTGTCCACAGGACTCCTCCTTGTCTGCACCTCTGAGCTCCACTGGCCCTGTCTCTGTGCAGGGCCTTCATGCAGGCAGGCTCTGTTTAAGAAGGGAACATGGCCCCTGCAGCTCCATGCCTCACTAGTCAGTAACCACAAGAATCCTACTCATAAGACTGAAAATTAGTTCTTAGATTAATCCTGGTGCTGCATATACCTCCCAAGCCAGTCACGTGGCAGGCACGGGGCCTTCTCATGGACCAGGTCTGCCCCCATAGTCCAGTTCCCTGGAACTGATGGCTGAGGAAAGGTAGCCCAGGGGCTAGCCAGGTGGGGATAAAATACCCACTGCAGAGAGAAGGGAAAACTGTCATTTGGGTTTCTGTCCCTTCTGCATGCCACGGGCTGTCTTGCCAAAAGCCTTTGTCCCCATTTCCCACGTACCAGATTGAATGTGAGGACTGGCTACTCCTCTGACTACCAAGGATGAAATTCAGACGTCAGGTTCATATCCTTTATTGAGAGCCCCAACCTTGAGTATGTCACTCCAAATCTCAGCCTCAGTTGCGTTCTCTGTACGATGAATCTCACAGAAGGTTGCAGTGGTCCAGTGAGATCTGGGACATAGACCCTTACACGGCACCAGCATGTCTTGGGCTCAAGAGAGACAGGGGTTCCCCTTTCCCCTCCCAGCCCAGCCTTTGGCTACCAGGCTGAAATGTCCCTTCCCTTCCTTGCCAGCCAGTGTCCATGACTAGGGTGCAGGTGGGACACAGAGATCCCAGCACTAGCCCAGGGGCTAGGCTTACTGCAGGACACCACTCAGTCGGGACCCTCTTCTTTGCTGGGTGTGGGGCTTTGTTGCCAGCCAGGATGGCAACAGGGATTCACAGGAACCAGAGTCCATTCACAAAAGGTCATACCTCCTGCCCCAGGTCAGCTTGTTCCTGATCCCAGGCTTCTGAACCCAGACCCCCAGGAGAGTGTTGGGCTGGAGATCACAGAACCACTACACAGGAGGGTGTTGGGCTGGAGATCGCAGAGCCACTACAGAGGAGGGTGTTGGGCTGGAGACCCAGAGGAGGGTGTTGGGCTGGAGACCCAGAGGAGGGTGTTGGGCTGGAGATCGCAGAGCCACCACACAGGAGGGTGTTGGGCTGGAGACCCAGAGGA